ATTTCCAATGTAGCTTTCGATATTTTCATTTCACGTGTGATCAAAAAAAAATTGCAAAATTTATATAAATTGGGTGATTCTGAGGCTGGAATTCATCATGGATATATTAATTAAAGATTTATTAGTGACTCCAGAAAGTGTTTTGTGCTTTAGACGACAGCTGTTCCTTCTTCCAAGAACGACTACGTGTGAGTTAATTATGATGATCTAAATGAAGAACAGAGGACTCAATTTGTATTCCGAGGATGAGTTTGAGTTATTGAGAATAATAAATTGTTTCCAAGTGAAATCATGATACTAAATGATGTAACCAATTGTAGTTCTTTCACAACATTTACCATAATGGAGTGCTATAAATATGAGGGCTAGCAATTACAAAACCTTCAGATCAGTAGCGGATAAAGAGAGAGACGGGGGGAAAGGGGGGGTGTTGGACGCCGCACTACCTCAGCGATTCGACCCCCTGATTACCCAAAGGGTCCCCCTTTGGTACTATTTTAATAGCTCTATTTTTGGCTCTGATCCAAAAAACTTTTCTAAGGCGGCATTTGGCGCCAATATATACTATTTTTCAAAACTCAATTTTTTGGTTATAACTGTCCAAAAAGTGCCTAAAAACGCTTTTTTGGCTTGTTTTTTGCCTGTGGCAAAAAATATAACCAAAATAGAATTTTTTTAGTGATTTTTGAGAGCTCGGAAAATCAATTTGGGCGACCTAAAACAAAATTTGCCTCCTCCAGAAAATCCTAGATCTGTCCGTGCTTCAGATAAGAAGCTTCATTAGAGTTGAGGCATAACTAATCAGTGGGTGTTGTCAGTTGGAATTAGGGGACTGATAAAATGTTTCTTTGTTACAGCTAACTCTACTTAGTTACAGATAAAATGTGTTTAAAAAAAGAATTAATCTCAAAGTTAAAACATTAAAAAGTGAGAGAGCATTCTCTCCGCCGGAGAGAATGAACATAACAAGGTCAAATCTAAACTAACCAGTTAAAGTAATTTAAGATTAATTAAATGAATAAGAAAATAACGGTATGATTCACAACAGGGACAGAGGAAAAGCAAATCACCCCATCCCACCCCCCCCCCACCCCCCCCCCCCCCTATCCCCCATCTCACCGTCATCAATTTTTTTTTGTATGAAGTGCAGTTTTGACCAAAAACTACGAGAGTTTTTTCTAAAATAGCTTTGTCAATACCTATATTTGACATTTTATCAAAAACTTCCCATAAGAGCTAAAACTGCATTTTGGCAAACTTTATCAATTTTGTCGTTGGCGCAGATGTTTTTAAAAAACTAGGATCATATGAAGTCCCCCCCCCCCTCCATCGCAAAAGCTTAAATCAGACTGCACCCCAATGGTGATTATCAAAACTAATTTAAAATAGTGCTGCCGTGGTTTCTATTGAAGATGAAGCCTTCGTCTATTCTTTGCGAACTTATCACAGTTAGTTTTCAGTTATGGAATAAAGTGGACTCGCAGTGGACACCAACTGTCCACAGTTGACATGAATGAGGGGGGTGTGATGGTAGGCGAGAAGAAGATGCCACCCGCTACTATTTCCCTGAAGGGTGGGGACTCAAATGTGTCCATCGATTTCTCAATTGCGCAAGACATTATCTTCACCAAGTTAGTCAAAAGTTTTTGATTTTGCCACTCAACCATGGTAACTTCAATTTCTTCGTGTAATTACCGCTTGTGAAAAAAGCAGCAATATTGTTTTGCTTTCAACCTGTTATAAAGCGGACGCCCCCCCCCCTCAGGAATTCGACCCCCTGCCGACCCAAAGGGTCCCCCTTTGGTACTTTTTAAGAAATCCATTTTTGGCCGACCGACCCTAAAATTTCTCTAATATACTAATTTTGAGGGGGGAGCGCGAGCCGAAAAAAACGCGACTTTTTGGTTAAAATTTTCCAAAAAGTGGACTTTTTTCCAAAATTTTTCCTGCGGAGCTGAAAATTTGGCCAAAACAGGGTCTAAAACGTGCTCAGGGAGAGCTCGAAAAATCATTTCGGTCTACCTAAAAAATGTTGACAAAATTTTCGAAAATTTTTTGAAAATCTGCCCTCCCTCGAGAAAATCCTAGATCCGCCCCTGATTCAAGTCAAAATTGCCCGAGAGTTTTTTTGGGTTCTGAAAACAAAAACCTTATAAATAACACCAGGAGCTTAAATTTTTGAACCAAACTACGCATCGAAAGGCTAAGAATCTTACATACCCCTTAAATTACGTTTTCTCGGCATAGAAAGAAAATGTAAAAATCAACAATACAATTCTCTCCGCATGGAAGTATGCAACTGATTGAATGATCAACTACACACTTAAGACGAGTAAAACTTGAGCAAAACGAGCGTTTTTATGATGTTCAGTTGACTTCAGAGGAAAACAGTGAGAAAAAAACTTGGTTACAATTCTTGCAGATTCTATATGGTGCAATTAATTGTGCGAATTTTGGGCCCAACAATTATACCCAAACCGGATTTTTAGCAGGTTAGCATTTTTTGATAATTTGAAAATAAGGCCAAAACCAACGGTTCAATTGATGAAATACTTACATCAAAGTCAGCTGTATTTTTTAGTACATGAAGTACCAATTTGTTATTTAAGAACATTTTACAAAGCTTTGCTCGAACCTCTTTGAAAAAACTTTTAAAAGTTATCAAACGTTTTTGGAGATTATACCCTTCTTCAATTTTAAAGGGTTGATACAGTTTCGTCAATGATAGACGAGGTGTTTTTATCATATTTTTTAGTGGTTTAGAAGAGCCAAAATGATTTTTTTGAGAAAGGGGTTGGACCCAGATTTTGAAAGAAAAATAAATGGCGCTATAGTAATTCTGGTCGAAGTCTAAACAATTTTTGTTTTTCATCGTTTTTTTTGTCAAGATAAATTGATATTACGCGTTTGAAATTTCAGCTTTTTTGTTTCATTAGGATAAATTAGATCAGTGAATGTATGAGCCAAGCGCTCAAAATATGAAAAAAATGAAATGATTACAAAGCCAACAATTAAAAACAATCGATTAATTGCAATTCATTTCTTGTTGACTTAAACTATTCGTAGTTTTAGTTTTTCTCGTATCTTGTAATTTTTTGTGCACAAAAGTTTTTTGAATGGTGGTGGAGCAGTTTTGCAAAACAATTTTCCAAACTTCAATCAGCTTTTGTTTTGGTTGAGTAAATGAAAATTGTTGCAGCGCAAATATAAAACAAGAGTATAAATGCATATAAAGTCGAACCAAAATGTAAATGCAAGTAGGGACAGTAGCCGAGCGTATACATGGTGCTTCCCGGCGGGTTCGGGGCCGGATCGAATCCCACCTAGGTCATTTCCTTTCTAGAACTCGAATATGCACCGAATTTGTTGGGATGCTCCGTAACCAGGTTCGATCCCCCCAAAAACCTATTTAACCGTCTTTTTGCTCCAATTTGGTTCAGCCTTGATTAAGGCTGACCTTTAAAAAGAGCAATTTGTCTCAAGGACAAATACTGGTCATTTTTGCAGCTTGCTTTGAGTTATGCAGTTTTGTGTGGCCGATGTTACCGATGTTAACAATAAAAAAGCTTGTTAAAAATATCGTTATTTTCCCGATAAAAGACTCGTTATAATTCAAGTGTTTGAAAACAGATTTTATCACGAAGTGTGGAGATTGACGCGCACATTTTGGCGCCCCACAAGGGACATTAGTGGTTTCTTGTTCGATTTAAAGAATTATAGTCTGTTTTAATGGCTGATTCTGTTCAGAAACTTTCCGACATTTACTGATTCATCTTCGATTTGTTTGCTGTTATTATGCCGATAAAATTTCAGTAAACTGACACTTTTGGGACCCTTTTCTTCACTACCGAAAACCGATCTACTCTAACATAGCTCTACTCTAAAACCGAAACCACACCCGAGTAGAAAACGCACGATACAGCTCCTAGCGTTACGGCTTCTTCCTATAGAACGGAGGTGCGCCACTACGTTACCTTCTTGTGGATTACCTCTTGAACTAAGGAGAGCCTCCCCCGTCTCAGAATAATCCCGAAAGGGCCAAACGGAGGCCTGTTCAGGTGTCGCGTTTTGAGGAGCTGCTCTGGTGTCGGATCTTAGAGGTCTGCTCAGGCGTCGTGTCAATCGCAGAGGCCTTTATACAGGTGTCGTGTTTTGTCTTCAGAGACGAAAGAGCAGACAGACGAAAGAGCGGACTGGCGGAAGAGAAAGAGGCCTGTTCAGGTGTCCTGATTGTTGACTTTTGGTCAAAGTGGAGCTGTGTTTTTCTCGACACCCGAAGTTTTGGATTTTTTCCCCGGTGTCGTCAATCTCCAAAACTGTCAAAAACTGTAAGACTCATCTAGTTTTTATAAACTTTTTTGTGCAATAAAATTACATACGGTGTCTTATTGTGTATCCCAACTCAAAGCAAGCTGCGAGTGGTAATTTTCCCGATACCACAAATGTTTGGGTAATTGTAAACAGATTAAAAATCCGTGAAATCGGATCATAGACTAGAGGTACTAGACTAGTTTTTTGGATTGGTTTATGACGCGAACCTGCTGACCAAAATTTTCCGAAAAAATTTTGGGAAAAAAGTAAAAAAATTCCTCAAAACGTCCACATAATTCTGCGAAACTGTGCTGTAACTTGACACCAACCTTATGGTAAGTGGTCTGGTAGCGAAATATCAGGCAAATTAAGTTGAGTTTTTCATCCTCAGGTTTTTTCCGCGTGTGTTGTTGGAACTTAACCAATTTGCCTGATCCCCCACCCACATTGGTGAAACTGAAAGCCAGTTCGCTTCAAGTAAATATAAGCCGTTTCAGCCCGTCCGATAATTGACTTCGTTGCGCGACACTAATGTTAAGTGGTCAGGTATGGTCATATTAAGTGAGTTAAGTTGAATTCTTTCATCCTCAGGCTAACTCCGTGTGCGTTGTTGGAGTTCAACCAACCTACTTAATCCCCCCCGTTGGTAATTAAGCGTACCGTAGCCGTCGCATAGGTCTCTTAAGTATATTGTATTCATTCTAGGAGCTAGTTCTCTAGACCACGCGCTCCGTATACTATCCGCGCCGTCTCAAAAGCGCGTGAAAGAGACTTTTTTCACAAAGCCCGGCTTAAGCTTTAACTTTAACGCCAGGTAAAAGTATTTTGTGGATTTACTTGGGTGAAAACAAAGTATTTTCTGAGAGTCGTGTATTTCTGAAATTATTAAGCATGGAAGTTAAGTTTCAGAAGAAAATTAAGAAGTTGTTTGAGAAACGTAGCAATCTCGAAAACGAACTTTATAAATGCCACGAAATAATTTTAGAATACATAGAGAGTCAGAGTCGTTGCTCAAAAACTGATACTTATATTGAAAAATGTAGGAACTATATAGAACAAGCGGTCGAGATAAATACTGAGTTGATTGATATGGCTGCAAAAAGTGCCAATCCCGACGAATTGATACCGGCACAGGACATGTGGCTTCATAAGTTGACTCAAAGCAACAATAAAGTTCTGCAGGAAGCTATCACATATAAAACAAGTTTTGAGGCAGAAACAGAGCCGGACAAAATTGATAGCAGCTCAAAAGTTTCTCATCATTCTGAAAAAACTGAAAAAACCCGGTCGCATAAAACAGATACCCGCTCTAAGTTGTCGCATCGAAGCAGCCGACATCAGCAATCGGGTTCTCAGAAATCTAATTATACCGCCACTCCGTCGAAAAAACTTTCTTGGAAAAAGCGCGATTTAATGATTTTAAAGAAACAACAAGAGGAACTTGAGAGGCAGGCAAAGGTATCATTAAGACTGAAAGAACAACAAAGCCGTTTAGAGTTGGAAGAATTGGCTGAAGAACACAGGAAAAAACTGGCAGAAATTGAGTTGAAAGTGCTTGAGTTAGAAGATGAGTTGTCGGAAATCAGCGAGAATGCTGAGGAAAGTGGTTTAACTCGAATCTCTCCACAACTAAAAATAGACGAAAAGGATCGTACGCGTCACTGGGTCGAATCTGTCGACCACAATCAGCCTGATGCTGTTGTAGTTCCCAATCAAGAGCAGCACGTTTGTTCAACAGCTCCTGAGGCACTTTATCCTGCATCAACAAATTACTTGGTCTCATCAAGTTTTACAGGAGTGAATAATGGCCAGGCAGCTTCTAGTGATCCGGGATTGTATTACAGTAACCACATTCACGGACAACAACATAATTTGTCGAGTTTGGTCCGATCGCAGGTTTCCGTTAACAATCCAGCAGGGCTACAGCAGGTCATTCAACCTGTTTCTAATAATTTGCCTCAGCAAGCTTTTCTGTCCACTCATCCGGTGCTAGGCAATCCAAACACAGGGTCAGTAGTCCCGGTAACTTCTGAAAATTATTTTGCTACGACAACATCTGCAGAAGTTCCTTCTGGTGTAGCACCGTTCGTTCCTGCATCAACAGCAGTTAATCAGGTTTCTTTAAGTCATCACACTGCAGGATCAGTTAGCTGGCTACCAAGCACCTGTAGCCCCATCACAACAACATATGGGTATTCCCGTTAGTAGTTATAACTTTTCAAGTGACCACTACAATCCTCAAAGTAATTTGTGGAGACCAGCTCTTGCTGCCCCTTTAATGTCAACTCAACAGCACTACGTTTCTTCGACAACTGTTTTT